TAATTGATTTTTTGACCGTTAGAGATAAAGTGAGTCCCACCTGTGAGAATAATTCAAAAATAACGGTTGAAATAGTGAAATAACGGTCAAAAAATTGATTTAATTGAATTAAAATCCCTACCAAACATGCTTAAAATTATAAACATGACTTGACTAATATCTAACACTTAATTCAGGCCTGTCAATCAATCATTACATATGCAACTACTATTACTATAGGCGGTAGATGCTAAAATAGGTTTCCCGTTTCCTTAACAATTAAGTGACTTTTCATTTGATCAATTCAAGCAGTCATTTTTGAGAATTCATTTAAGGATGTTCACAATATAATTTTAGATTCTATTTTTCAATGAATAATGTTATTTACAGTCGTCCACTATTACAGTAGTCCTATGTGACATACAGGTGGTGGTATCAAATCACTAATCCCTACATGTACACTACGTAGGACGACTACGACAGTGAACGATTGCAAATAACATTGCTCTTTTTCCAATGATTGTACGATATAGCATGGAAATTTATTATGCAATTGATTGTTTGAAAATATGCATCCTAACTTTTTAAAGTTCCAAGAAATTTGCTTTCTTGGCTTCGATAATACAACCAGAATTGATTCAAGGGTGTATGCAATGTAGTTTTTGGTTCTATTTTTAAAAATGATGGTACGATCAAGCATGGCTTTCACTGTGCAATTGATTGCTTGAAAATATGAGTTCCAAGAAATTTCCATTCTTAGCTTGTTGGAGCACAATTCACTATGCACTCAACTTGAAAGGCAAAAAGTAGATGAAACAAGATTCAAAAAAGGGGAAACGAGTTCATGATTCCATGAATTTAATGCTGCACGTAATTTAAAGAGTGTGATTGTGTCAAGTTGCAAGAAATTTGCTCTCTTGGCTTCAGAATTAATTCAAGTGTTCGCAAAATAATGGTACGATCAAGCATGGGCAAATACTGTGCAATTGATTGCTTGAAGAGTTCCAAGAAATTTTCTTTCTTAGCTTGTTGGAGCACAATTCACTATGCACTCAACTTGAAAGGCAAAAAGTAATAAGATTAAAAATAATAATAATAAAAAATAAAAATTCATGATTGCATGAATTTAATGCTGCACATAATTTAAGAGAGTGTGATTGTGTCAAGTTGCAAAAATCTTTCGTATCGTTGCCTCAGAATATGTGATTTTCTTCTTCTCTCATTTTAGTAAATTGTATTTTTTTTTTCTTTTTTGTGTCTAATAATTAAGAAAACATATTTATTGATTGTTTTTATTCATTTGGCGTAAGATTATTTTTGTTTGTGACAGTTGAAAACAATTGCGGAATTGATTGTTGAGTTGGACCAATGTCTGAAAATGTAAAACTTGAGTTTTACCAACTTAAGCTAATTGATTATGTAAGTTGTATAAGGGCCCGTTTGGCACGACTTTTACTTTGGCTTTTGCTTCTTGTAGAAGAGTTTTTGGAGAAAGCTATTTTAATTTTTGTTTGAAAATTAATATTTAAAATCACTTCCCATTCCGGAAGTGCTTTTGGAGGAAGCCAAAAAAACCAGCTTCCTCTAAAAGTTCTTCTAACCTCCAAAAGTACTTTAAACAAAAATAGCCAAACGGTCCAAAAGCGGCTTTTGGCTCTCAAAAGCTCCTTTTGGCTTTTCATAAGCCATCCCAAACGGGCCCTAAATTAGGTTTGCGTGAAAACTCTTCAAACTAGTTACTTAATCTTTTTTCCAAAACATGTACATGAAACAATTAATTTTTACCCCATATTCATTTTATGGATCATATTTTTGTTTTCTTGTATGATTATTTAGGTAATGAAGTAGTAGAATCTAATGCCACGAAACATATAATGTCTGAATAAATACTCTGTAATTTATTCTATGAAATGATGGGACTCGAAGATGCCAAATGCTAGACTAAATTAAATAGAAAAAAATCATTTGAAAATAAATCATGTGACTCTACTGTTAGTACACAAGTTATTAGGGTTTTATTGTAAATTTTAGGAAGGGTATGGCAATACTGTAATATTTAAATCCTTTCCACATTATAGTTTACACTTTTTGTCCAATATTCTCCTTGATTTTTTATTTTATTTTTTTCATTTTTTATTGCTTTCAAAACTTGAAGTGATCTATACTTATCGTTAGGCTACCTTTCCAATAACACATCATCAAATGTGCGTTTGAATAATTATTTTAACATGCTTGCGATACGTTGCAAGCCATATTTTTATTATTTGTGAATAAAACATACTATTTGTTATTTTCTTAGTTTTTATGGGGAATATGTAACGGTTAATTTTTTATTTTAAAAAATAATTAAAATAGCATCTACACATACTGTATTACACTCTATATGCCTTGCGTGTTTTGCCATTTTGTACTATTTTTTGGACGCAAACATAATTATCATTTGTTAGTGCTTGTGAAACAATAATTCGTATAATTTGTAAAAAAGTTGTCTACGCGCTATATATATTCTCTCTCTCTGTGTGTATATAATTGATAGTTCTAACTCTAAATATATGATTATCATGATTGGTATGATATGTAAATGAAGTGATCAAATTTTTTTGTTGACGTTGATTAAAATATTACTTTTGAGTAAGTTTCACTTAAGAACAAAGAATTGCCTTTGTGGTCATTAGAATACAATTTTTTTTGTAGAATCTAATGAATTATTGCATTAATTAAGACTAATAAATAGAGTAAATAAATTATAGAACTTTTTTTTGAAATTCTATATCATTTGGTTTTACAATTTACATATTTAGTGAATTGACATTAACTTAAAATATTAGTCTATTGGGCAAAGAAGATGGAATATTACAAAAAAAATATTATTATTAGTCATGAGATCTAGCTTATATAAGTCTATACCAAAATATTATAGTTATATTATTTCTCTTCTCGATCTTATCTTGCAATTTTAGGTCAATAAAATTTAGGCGTGATTTTTAAAACTATGAACGGGCTACGAAAGGGGTTTGGATTCTCAACATTATTTTATTGATATCGCAATTAATGCTCTTATTTCATACAGACAAATGTTAGACATACTCTACAAACTATTCATTGATACTTTTTTATATTTTTTGTTAGCAAAAATTGTGTACTAGTTTCATGCTTAGGAAATTGCAATATGTAAACTGTAATTTTTTACGAGAGCTTGCTTTTATTTGTTAATACTTAAGAAATAATGGTATGTATAAAATATTTGTTAAGTAATATATTTGTTAAAGTAGATACGTAGTGTAATTACATTACGTATCCACGTGGTGCATTTTATAATTTTTTTCTAAGGGTAATACATTTGATCATTTTAAGAACCATATGGACAAATGAGTTTGGTAGCTTTATATGTTTTCTGCTGGGAGCTCATCAATGTGCACCGCTCATGTGTCGCACCTACATTATAAAATTTTGTAATTTCAAAATGTTACATATTTTTCTTACACTTTGTTTCCTTTTAGAAATTCTAATCGAGAATTTCTGTTTGTCATATGTGATGGCACAAGCACAACGATTATTTATTTATTTGATATATTTTGTGCACTTTCTAATTTCAATTTTCTATTTACAGGAAGTCCACCAGTACAGACCTGGCCCTGGCCCAAGGCAAGTGAGGCCACTGCCTTGGGCCTCAAATTGTACCTTGGGCCTCAAATTGTAGGGGGCCTCATCTATTAAGGATTAAAAAAAAATGGCACAAGAAAATGAACCGCCTTTCTCCATAAATCATTTTTTCACCGTTTTCTTCTTCGTCTTCTCTTCTCCACCAGACCACCACAAGCTAACTTCTCTCAGGAGGCGGAGGCCCAGGCTAGTAGGTTGATTAAGGAGAGGCTTAACGGAAATTCAGCAGCTGATTCTGGTTCACGAAGACCTGTCTCCGGCAAGAGGTCATCCCTTTTTATTTGTTAACATGCTCGTTTATGTCTCTAAACTAATAAACTAAGTTAACTAACTTTTGTCTCGTATTGTTTTATTATTTGAATTGATTTGTTTATAAATTTTTGAGGAATGGGTTTACTTTTTCTACCGTCATAAGATTAGTTGAGAGACATTTATTTTGTATTGATGAAGTTTTGTTTAGTTCTATAGTTACCGACCTGTGAAATAGCCGGAAAGTTCTATTTTGGGATGTTTACAGATACTAATGGGAAGACGAAACAGTATTGCCATTAAATATTTGTGCACTCGCAAGGCCTGGTAAAAATTTAAGGTTGAAATACATAGTTTCTAATATTCAGAACTTAGAATAGAAAAAAGAACTCTAATAATCATTTTTTGTGCACTTCATAGGACATCGACTCCTAATAATAATTTGAGGCGTATACAATTTAGTGCACTCCTGGTACGTAAGATTTGTAGTGTTTTCATTTTGGGGCTTGTTGCTTCTAAATGAAAATATTAGGAATACAAAAATATCAACTTAAAAAAGGAGACATTATTAAAAAGACAAGTAAACTGGCTCATGTTGGGAAATTCAGAGGGCAAACTGATGCAAGAATTACATAATCCTTAAATAATTTCATAAAAAGCAACCGTAAGGTATTTCATGAGAATGAGTCTTTGGAATGTGTTCTATTTTTATAATTCCTATTATATGGTTTTGATATGAGATAATGTATGCCTTTTATCATGTCCCTAAAACTTATTTTGTTACTTCCTTCTATCTAGCAAAAGATGAAGTGTACAAGCTATGCTCACTACTAAACATAAATTGCAAGTAGAATTTAACAAAAATGGAGAAGCTATAATTATGTTATTTAGTTCATTTTCTTACCATCTTATGTCTTTTTTCTTTGAATTTAATTTGGATAAATTTGCTCTAATTATGTTCCATATTTTTTGAATAAAAGTGCTCTAATTATGTTCCATATCATCTTACAACCGCATTGTCTACTTCAATCACCACTGCGACCACCAATTTCTAAATCCTTTCATTTTGAGACTCATCAATCAGGTTTTATCGCTCTTTACTTGTTATTATGTCTATGAGAAATTTTGAATCTGGATGTGCCAAAAGAAAAAGGAAGGAAAAGATTGAAAAGTTGATTAAATCTCAAGAGGGAGCACTTGATATGTTTTTTGGTAGTAGTAAACGAACTCACAACGATGACATAGCTGCTGAAGAAGTGTTAAATGTGAATGACAACAATAATAATACAATTGAAGAAGGACATTGTGTGATGAATGAAGAGGTATCTACTGACAAAGATAATGAACCATTTTCTCTCGACCTTGTTGACCCAGCAAATTGGGGAAATATGAATACAAATTTAAGAGATTTAATTGTAATGAAAGGTCCTGTAAGAGAAAATGATCTGATTTTTCCGAAAGATGGAGCAAATCGACACTTCTCATCCACACATTACGTTCGATGATTACCTAATGGAGAGAAGTATGATAGAAAATGGTTAATCTATTCAAAAAGTTTGGATAAAGTATTTTGCTTTTGTTGTAAGCTATTTAAGAATGATGGGATCAGAACCCAATTGGCACATGATCGGAAAAATGTTGGTGAAAAACTTAAAATGCACGAAGCAAGTTGTGACCATATCAATAACATGAATAAATGGATAGAAATGGAATTAAGATTTGAAAAGAGTAAAACAATTGACAAAAGTGTGCAAGAACAAATCAATAGAGATAGAGAACATTGGAGACAAGTATTATTGAGAATAATATCTGTGGTGAAAACTCTTGCTGAGAATAATTTAGCATTTCGTGGGGACAATGAGAAGATATATCAAGAAAATAATGGTATCTTTTTAAGCATAATTCAAATGATTGCTGAGTTCGACCTCGTAATGCAAGAGCAGGTTCGTCGAATAAAAAGTAAAGAGATTCATTATCATTATCTAGGACACAAAATTCAAAATGAGTTGATACTTATGCTAGCGGGCGAGATAAAAAAAATAATCATTGAGAAACTCAAAATTTCTAAATACTTTTCTGTTATACTTGATTGCACTCCAGATACAAGTCACGAAGAACAAATGTCAATGATATTGAGGTGTGTAGATATTTCGACAAGTCCAGTGAAGGTTGAAGTATTCTTTTTAGGGTTTTTATTAGTAGATGATACATCAGGTAAGGGGCTTTTAAAGGAATTGGTGGATGCTTTGAATAATCTAGAACTTGATATTGATAATGTAAGGGGTCAAGGCTACGATAATGGTGCTAACATGAAAGGACAACATAAAGGAGTTCAAAGTAGACTATTACAACTAAATCCTAGAACATTCTACATTCCTTGTGGATGTCATAGTCTTAATCTTGCACCTTGTGATATGGCCACTTGTTGTTCATAAGCTAAATCTTTCTTTGGGGTGGTGCAACGTATATATACTCTATTTTCTTCATCTACTAAACGATGGAAAGTTTTCAAAGAGAATGTAACTGGTCTTACCCTTAAGCCTTTGTCACAAACTCGTTGGGAAAGCCATATTGAAAGTGTTAGAGCGATAAGATTTCAAGCTCCGTAGATAAAAAAAAGCTTTACTTCAATTAGCAAATGTTGATGATCCTAAGACAAAAAGTGAGGCGGAGTGTTTGGCAACATATGAAATTGACAATTTTGAATTCTTACTTGGAATGATTATTTGGTATGAAGTGTTGTAATGTTAACAGAGTAAGCAAACAATTGCAAGCAGAAGACATGCATATTGATGTTGCTATAGACCATTTAAAAGGCCTCATTTCATTTTTCAAAAGTTATACAGAATCTGGTTTTGAATCGGCCATGGTTGATACTAAAGAGATTGCAAGTGAATTAGAAATTGAACCGATATTTCCTAAAAAACGGGTTATACATAGAAAAAAACAGTTTGATGAGATTTCTTCTGAAGAGATAACACAAACAGCTGAAGAATCTTTTAAGATCAATTATTTCATATATATAGTGGATCAAGCTCTATCATCACTTCAGAATAGATTTGAGCAATTTCAGAAATATGATGATATTTTTGGATTTTTGTTTGATTTGAAAAGACTTAAATCTATTGATGATGATGTTTTGAAATGTTCTTGCATTATACTTGAAAATTATTTGAAGCATAATACAATTTCTGATATTGATGGAATAGAATTATTTTCTGAATTGAAAGTTTTAAGGGAAGGAATATCTGCAAACATTTTTGGAGCAATTGATGTATTGGATTACATTAAGAAAATGAACTGTTGTTATGCAAATGCCTGGATTGCTTATGGAGTATTATTAACTATTCCTGTCACAGTTGCCTCTACCGAAAGAAGTTTTTCAAAGTTGAAGTTGATTAAATCTTATCTTCGATCATCCATGTCACAAGAGCGATTGAATGGATTAGCTCTGATTTCTATTGAAAAAAATATGTTGGACAAACTTGATGTTAGTAGTTTGATTACTAATTTTACATCTCAAAATGTGAGAAGGTTAAATCTTATGCTAGCCTAATCTTACGGGTTGTGAAAGAAGTTTTATTTTGTTATTCTATCTTTCGAATTGTATGAAGTTTTCTTTCTAATATAAAAGTGTTAATTATTTAAATATTTATATATTGTTAGACTTGTAAAATAAGTTTTGTATTGAGGGGCCCCATAATAATTAAACGGCCTAGGGCCTCTAAATTCTCAGGGCCGGCCCTGCACCAGTATTCCATGATTTTTATGTAAACTAGATATTAGGCTAGTCTAGCGCATGCCTTGTAGCTATAGGATATTTCCATTGATTCAAAATAAAGGATTCTTCGAGTTCTACGAAAATTATGTAACTATCAATCTTTGTTTTCCTATTAGAAGATTTAATAATAAATTTATAAAATATGCCTCTTATTATAGAATCATTCAAAATTGGTTTATCCAGGTATAAATTCAAAAAAGCTACTCAGTCTTTGTTTAACTTTCCTTTATAGTTGTCAAAATTATAAGTCGGTAGAAAAGAATGGTGGATGATTGATTACTAGTTGTAGCTCTACAAAATGTATGGTAAAAATTAATATTTGACTTTGAAAAGTAACTTATATGCGCGATATACCCGAAAAATTTAACGATCAAAATGAAATATCCCATAAAGTTCGGGTCCTAGTAAACTATATTGAGTTTTAAGTTGAAATCCTATTCACATAGAATACCTTCGATGTCTGTATCATACTACCTATAAAAATATCGCTCTCTTTCATCACTTCCTCACACTATCTACGAGCTATCTGAGTAACTCCATCACTCTTTCACTTTATTCTCTCACTTCATCGCAGCAAATAAGTTTTATTTTCCAACCCTTAACTCGCAACAAGGGCCGCGCCAGGAAATTCATTTAGTACGGGCACAATTTTATCATCATCGAATTTCAAGTTTTTGATCATAGATTTAATGATAAAAATTTGATATCCAATTACAACTGGGAATAATTCAGAAGGACATAACAGAATCATAAATATTGGAAGCAAAAGCAAAGCAATTCACATGGCAATTTACCTAGCAATACTAGAATCAATTAATATTGCAAGTTGTGCAATCACACTTCACGGTGATAGAGTAAGCAACTCACAGAGTCAATAATATTGGAACTGGAAGTCTGGTAGAAAAAGTATTTGAAGAGCAATGTGTAAGCAGTAGGTTTCGATCAATTAAAGAGGAAAGTTCTAATTTCATATGTTAAAAAGAAAAAAAAAATCAAACATTATTACAATTTACACAATTCAAAATAAGGAAAAGTAAGAAAAGAAAAATAAGTATAAGTTTTAGGTTCGAGGGCTTCTCCTTCTTTTTCTATCGTTCAGTTGCTACCAAAGAATAGCTGACGAGCGCGTTTGCCTAGTGCTGTCTAGGGACCAACAAAAGTAATCATTCCTCAAGAGACCAAAATTTGGACTCAAAAGGTCCACTTTATTTCTTGAACGAGACTCATATACTTGGAGTTTGCATTTTTATAATAAATTACTCATCTATGATGTTAGATCCAAATTTTCAATTTTAGTTAATTACCTCTCTCAAGCAAAATTAATCCTAATTAATTGGTTTAATATATTATATCTCTATGTCGATTTAAACCAAACAATTGTATTAAATATTCGTGAAAATAAATCAATAGATCACCTAGGACTAGAGGTATATCTATATCCCTTACACAAATCAAGGGCTCTTAATATTTAGTCTAAAATGCACAATATTCTCTTGAGCAATATACAAATCACTAAACATAATCATTAATTGGCTACATAAATAAAAATACAATAAATAACAAAACTAAAATATGAAATTAAGTAACTTACTATTAAAGAGCAAATATTAAAACTAATTAAAGTTATGTTAAACTAATACCACAAATCCTAGCACAATTAATTAGCCCATATTATATAAATACAATACATTACAAATATGGCAAAATAATTGAGAAAATACAAAATTATAGACAAAACCCCTTTTGAAGCTTGGCTTCACCTTAGACGTATTCTCCTTGCTCTATGATTTGTCCTCCAAAAATTACCATTAAAAAAAAAAAAGCGGAGGAGAAGACGAGCTTTTAGCAGAAGAAGCAGAATTCAATTTAAAACCCTAAGAAGGAATTGCATCTCAAATCCTTGAAGTTTTGGAAAAGTCATAAAACAGTCCCCAGGTCATTTGTTCATTAAAACATGACACCTAATCGCCAATCTCAGGGCCGGCCCTGAGAATTTAGAGGCCCTAGGCTGTTTAATTATTATGGGGCCCCTCAATACAAAATTTATTTTACAAGTCTAACAATATATAAATATTTAAATAATTAACACTTTTATATTAGAAAGAAAACTTCATACAATTCGAAAGATAGAATAACAAAATAAAACTTCTTTCAGAACTCGTAAGATTAGGCTAGCATAAGATTTAACCTTCTCACATTTTGAGATGTAAAATTAGTAATCAAACTACTAACATCAAGTTTGTCTAACATATTTTTTTCAATAGAAATCAGAGCTAATCCATTCAATCGCTCTTGTGACATGGATGATCGAAGATAAGATTTAATCAACTTCAACTTTGAAAAACTTCTTTCGGCAGAAGCAACTGTGACAGGAATAGTCAATAATACTCCATAAGCAATCCAGGCATTTGCATAACAACAGTTCATTTTCTTAATGTAATCCAATACATCAATTGCTCCAAAAATGTTTGCAGATATTGCTTCCCTTAAAACATTCAATTCAGAAAATAATTCTATTCCATCAATATCAGAAATTGTATTATGCTTCAAATAATTTTCAAGTTTAATGCAAGAATACTTCAAAACATCATCATCAATAGATTTAAGTCTTTTCAAATCAAACAAAAATCCAAAAATGTCATCATATTTCTAAAATTGCTCAAATCTATTCTGAAGTGATGATAGAGCTTGATCCACTATATATATGAAATAATTGATCTTAAAAGATTCTTCAGCTGTTTGTGTTATCTCTTCAGAAGAAATCTCATCAAACTATTTTTTTTCTATGTATAACTCGTTTTTCACGAAATATCGGTTCAATTTCTAATTCACTTGCAATCTCTTTAGCATCAACCATGGCCGATTCAAAACCAGATTCTGTATAACTTTTGAAAAATGAAATGAGGCCTTTTAAATGGTCTATAGCAACATCAATATGCATGTCTTCTGCTTGCAATTGTTTGCTTACTTTGTTAACATTATTCAACACTTCATACCAAATAATCATTCCAAGTAAGAATTCAAAATTGTCAATTTCATATGTTGCCAAACACTCCGCCTCACTTTTTGTCTTAGGATCATCAACATTTGCTAATTGAAGTAACGCTTTTTTTATATGCGGAGCTTGAAATCTTATCGCTCCAACACTTTCAATATGGTTTTCCCAACGAGTTTGTGACAAAGGCTTAAGGGTAAGACCAGTTACATTCTCTTTGAAAACTTTCCATCATTTAGTAGATGAAGAAAATAGAGTATATATACGTTGCACCACCCCAAAGAAAGATTTAGCTTTTGAACAACAAGTGGTCATATCACAAAGTGCAAGATTAAGACTATGACATCCACAAGGAATGTAGAATGCTCTAGGATTTAGTTGTAATAGTCTACTTTGAACTCCTTTATGTTGTTCTTTCATGTTAGCACCATTATCATAGCCTTGACCCCTTACATTATCAATATCAAGTTCTAGATTATTAAAAGCATCCACCTATTCCTCAAAAAGCCCCTTACCTGATGTATCATCTACTAATAAAAACCCTAAAAAGAATACTTCAACCTTCACTGGACTTGTCGAAATATCTACACACCTCAATATCATTGACATTTGTTCTTCGTGACTTGTATCTGGAGTGCAATCAAGTATAACAAAAAAGTATTTAGAAATTTTGAGTTTCTCAATGATTATTATTTTTATCTCGCCCGCTAGCATAAGTATCAACTCATTCTGAATTTTGTGTCCTAGATAATGATAATGAATCTCTTTACTTTTTATTCGACGAACATGCTCTTGCATTACGAGGTCGAACTCAGCAATCATTTGAATTATGCTTAAAAAGATACCATTATTTTCTTGATATATCTTCTCGTTGTCCCCACGAAATGCTAAATTATTCTCAGCAAGAGTTTTCACCACAGATATTATTCTCAATAATACTTGTCTCCAATGTTCTCTATCTCTATTGATTTGTTCTTGCACACTTTTGTCAATTGTCTCAGTCTTTTCAAATCTTAATTTCATTTCTATCCATTTATTCATGTTATTGATGTGGTCACAACTTGCTTCATGCATTTTAAGTTTTTCTTGCTTCGTGCATTTTAAGTTTTTCACCAACATTTTTCCGATCATGTGCCAATTGGGTTCTGATCCCATCATTCTTAAATAGCTTACAACAAAAGCAAAATACTTTATCCAAACTTTTTAAATAGATTAACCATTTTCTATCATACTTCTCTCCATTAGGTAATCGTCGAACGTAATGTGTGGATGAGAAGTGTCGATTTGCTCCATCTTT